GAATTGCTACCCCAGCTTTTTTTCCTTTCCATTTGCTTGGAAATTTTTTTTCCATCCTTTCACTTTCAACCTATGTGAGTCTTTTGTTGTGAGGTGGGTCTCTTATAAACATATAGATGAGTTATGCTTTTTTATCCAATCAGCTACTCTGTGTCTTTTTATGGGAGCATTCAATCCATTTACGTTTAAGGTGATTATTGATATGTACTTATTTATTGCCATTTTTGTTTAATGTGGTTCTATTTTTCTTCCCATTTCTACTGCTAATTACAGCAGTCCTTTTAACATTTCTTGCAGTGCTGGTTTGTTGCTAATGTATTCCCTTAGCCTTTTTTTTGTCTGGGGAGCTCTTTATTTGATCTTCTATTTTTTTTTTTTTTATCCTCACATGAGGATATTTTTCCATTTTTTGTACATATAGAGTGGGAGGGAGAGAGAGGAAGGGAAAGAGAGAGAGAAACATCGATGTGAAGGGACACATCGAGTGGCTGCCACCCGCACGACCAACCAGGGCCGGGGACAAACTGCAACCAAGGTACGTGCCCTTAGCGGGAACCGAACCCGGGTCTCTCCGGACCGCAGGCCGACGCTGTAACCGCTGAGCCAAACTGGCCAGGGCTGATCTTCTATTTTGAATGATAGCCTTGCTGGGTAGAGTAGTCTTGGATTCAGATTCTTGTTTTTCATGACTTTGATTACTTCATGCCATTCCCTTCTGGCCTGGAGTGTTTCTTGTGAAAAGTCAGCTGAGAGCCATATGGGGTTTCCTTTATAGGTAACCTGTTGCTTATGTCTTGCTGCTTTTAGGATTCTCTCGTTGTCTTTAATTTGTGGCATTTTAATTACTATGTGTCTTGGTGTGGGCCTGTTTGGGTTCCTCTTACTTGGGACTCTCTGTGCTTCTTGAACTTGAATGCCTTCTTCACCAAATTAGGGAAGTTTTCTGTCACTATTTTTTTGAATATATTCTCTATCCCTTGCTCATTTTCTTCTCCTTCGGGGACTCCTATAATGCGAATATTATTACGTTTCCAGTTGTCCCATAGTTCTCTTAAGCTGTCTTCCTGTTTTTTAATAGTTTTTTCCTTTTGTTTTTCTGATTGGTTGATTTTTTTCTACCCTGTCTTCCAATTCACTGATCCGGTCCTCAGCTTCCTCTATTCTGCTTTTTAAACCTTCCAATGTGTTTTTCATTTCGGATATGTCATTTTTTATCTCTTCTTGATGGTTTTTAATTTCCAATTGGCTTATTTTCAGTGTCTCTATGTCCTTACTCATGCTGTTCAGCTTCCTCAAGATCATGGCTCTGAATTCTAGCTCTGTTAACATGCCTAATTGCTCCACATTGATCTCATCTTCAGTGGAGGTCTCTTGCTCTTTCATTTGGTTTCTGTTTCTATGTTTCACCATTTTGGCTATCACCGTGGGCTTTGGAGCCTGTCAAGTTTTCCCTGTGGGTGTTGGTGTTCTGCTGTTTGTGGCTCCCTCCTGTGTTTAGATGAGCGAGGGAAGACCCACGTTAAACACCACTGTCAAGTCTCAGTTTCCTGGTTAAAGTTGCCAGCCCAGGAAAGGTACTGTTATCCTCTAGCTTTTTGCCTGGAGGTTAGCAGTCGAGGTTACTTGATGAGTTTTGGGTTGTCAGTTGATTGAAAAGCTCCCTCAGGTGCTCAGCACAAGGGGATTTCCCGAGGGTGGGGCAGATGCTGGTTGTTAATGAGCTGCAATTAGCACTTCAATGGCCCACAGGGTGGGGTTGGATCTCCGAGGGAGGGGCTTCTGCCTCTCCTCAGAGCCTTGGGAAGGAGCAATATGCCCACCATCCTGCGTGGCTGCACTCAGCAAAAGCTCTGAGTGCCCTCCAAATCCTGAGTGTCCCGACACAGCTCCAGTCCAGTCTGCCCTCCCTCTGCCGGAGCCCAAGGTGAGTGGCTGTGGCTTTTTTAGCCTCTGTCCCGGCTGCGCTGTGGAGCCGCCTGGGAGTGTAACCCGCGGGCGCCGCTTACAGCTAAGGCTGCTGCCGAGCTGCTGACCTTGGGCTCCCAGCCCCTGTCTCGCGCCTTCCCAAGCCTACCGGGATGGAGTCAGTGTCCCTCGTTGTATGGTCCTCGCAAGCTGCTTTTCTGTTGCTTTTTCCCATCAATTTGTCTTTGTTATAGTTGTAATTCCAGTTTGGTTCTGGGAGACGGTCTGTGTAGCTTCCGTTCACTCCGCCGCCATTTTTTCCTCCAGTTTGTAATTTTTTTTTAAAAGCCTGCTGAGATTTTATTTGGAGTTGAGTTGACTCTATAGATCAATTTTAGGAGAATTGACATTTTAACAGTTTCGAGTCTTCTAATCCATGAACTTGGATATTTTTGTATTTTTTTTAGATCTTTTATTTTGTTCAGTGATATTTTATATAATTCAGTGTAGAAGTCATACATTCTTCATTAAATTTATCCCTAAGTATTTAATTTTTTTTTATCCTCACCTGAGGACATTTTTGCATTTTATCTTCAGATACAGTGGGAGGGTGAGAGGGAGGAAGAGACAGAAACATCGGCATGAGAGAGACATATCCAGTGGTTGCCACCCACACAACCCCAACTGGGGCCGGGGACAAACTGCAACCGAGGTACGTGCCCTAAGAAGGAACCAAACCCGGGACTCTGGTCCATGGGCTTACGTTCTAACCGCTGAGCAAAACCGGCCAGGGCCTAAGTATTTAATTTTTTTACACTATTGTAAATGGCAGTGGTTTTCTTAAATTTTATTTTTAGATTGCTCATTGCTAATATAGATTGCTAGTGATTGATTTTTGTACATTGACTTTGTATCCTGAGGCATAACTAAATCCACCTATTAGTTTTCTTCTAGGTTCCTTGGGACTTTTTATGTACGTAATCATTATCACTTTAGGGACACTTTTACTTCTTTCTGTCTAATCTCATGCTTTTTATTTCTTTTCCTTTCCTTATTTCATTTTCTAAGACCTTCAGATTGATGCTGAATAAAAGTGTGAGTGTGGGTATGTTTGCCTTGTTCCTGATATTAGGGGCAAAAAATTCTTATCATAAGTATGGAGCTGCCCTTTATCAGGTTATGTGAGTTCCTTTATAGTCCTAGCTTGTTAGACAGGTTTTTGAAAAAAATCATAATTAAGTGTTGAATTTTGTCAAATTCTTTTTCTTCATCTTATTAGAGTGATCATATAAGTGATTGCTTTTAACTTGTTAATATATACATGCATTTATTGATTTTCAAATGTTAAATTAACCTTGTATTTCTGAGATAAATACTAGTGATTATGATACATTACCCTTAATATATATTGTTGGATTCTATTTTTATATTTTGTTTAAAATATTTAACGGAGTGGTATTGGTTTGTAGTTTTCTTTTTTTGCAGTGTCTTTGTCAGGTTTGGGTGTTAGCATTATGCTTGGCCATATAATATGAGTTGTGAATGAGTTCCATTCTCTATTTTTTGAAATAGTTTGTGTAAGATTGTTATTTCTGCTTATGCTGTTTCACAGAATTCACCAGTGAAAATGTCTGGGCCTGGAGTTTTCTCAATGGGAAAGTTTTAATAATAAATTAAATTTATTTAATATACATAGAGCTCTTAGATTTTCTGTTTCATTTTTTGTCATACGTAATACGTTGTATTTTTTCAAGGAATTTGTCTATTTTCTTTATGTTGTGTAATTTAATTCTGTTGTAGTCTGAGAATACACTCTGTATGCTTCAGCAAATGGTCTGTCTAGGGGAATGTTCCATGTATCTCTGAAAAGAATGCATATTCAACTCTTGATGGGTGCTGTGTTAAGTAGAAAACAATTACACATGATGGCGAGTTGGAGAATAGACATCTATTTATTGTTTGTATAGGTCAAGATGGCTATTACCACAATATATTTCCTAGAGGCATGAATAAATTTTTTCAGTTTTTTGAGATATAATTGACACACAGCACTATATAAGTTAAGGTGTACAGCATAATAACTTGACTTACTTACATCGTGAAATGATTACTACAGAAAGTTTAGTTAACGCCCATCTCATATAGAGATAAAAAATAAAGTTATTTTCCTTGTGATGAGAAGTTTTGGGATATTCTCCCTTAGCAAATTAAATTGTTTTGTTGACCACATTAATTTGGCATTGTTGTTAATAAGCAAGAAGCAACAAGATTAGTGAAGACTTAGAATCTAAAGCTAATGAGGACTTAGACTCTGAGTCACCCCCTCCAAGCCTAGGCTCTCCATCGATATTTTTCCTGAAAACCTATGTCTTTTTATTTTATTTATTTTTTTATCCTCACTCGAGGACATTTTTCCATTTTTTGTTCAGATAGAGTGGGAGGGAGAGAGAGGAAGAGAGAGAGAGAGAGAGAGAGAGAGACATCGACGTGAAAGGGACACATCGAGTGGCTGCCACCCGCACGACTAACCAGGGCCGGGGACAAACTGCAACCAAGGTACGCGCCCCTAGCGGGAACCAAACCTGGGTCTCTCTGGACCACAGGCCAACACTCTAACCACTGAGCAAAAACCGGCCAGGGAAACCCTTGTCTTTTTACTCTTTAGTCCACCCTACTTAATATTCAAGCCTCCTACCCAATTTGAGCTAAATTGCATATGTTGAACTCTAATCTCCAACACTTAATAACCATATTTTAGGACAAATTATATATAACCATTATGAGCTTTACTTTTCTTATTTACAATAGGTGAATAATAATAGAAAATACCTCATTGGACTTTGGAATGGATTAAATGAGTCTGTATGTATATATTTCTTAGAATAATGCCTGGAACATCGTAAGTGTCATACAAAAGCTTGGCACAAAATAGGTGCTATATATGTATTTCCTGTCAATGTTGTCACCGTCATTATCATCATCATTGAATTTGTTGGTTTCCTTATGTTCAATTTGGATTAACTTATATGTACCTTTTAATCTTCTCTTATCTATTCTTTCTGTTGATTTTACTTTTTTTTCCCCTCTCTTTTTAGATGGGAAGTTTGGGATTAAGACCTCAAAACAAACAATTTCTGGGAAAGCTTCATTTCATAGTGAAATGGAGGGTGAAGATATGAGAGACGATTCATTGTATTCCATTTTAGAACTGTGGCAAGATGCTGAACAGATAAAAAGATATCAGGAAAAACAGAACAAACCTGTGAGTCATGCTACATTCGTAAATAAAAAAATATTGAATACGGAGTGGCATTATGAATATAAAGACAGTGGAAAATTTGTTCATCCAAGCCCAAATCATATTATTGCTTCACAGAAAAGACCCCATAAACGTGACTCATTTGAAAAGAGTTTTAAGCATAATTTAGACTTACACATTCATACTAAAAACAAAGCGACAAAGAACTTTGATAAAATTATTGGACACAGTCAAGTTTTCTCCCAGAGCTCTTCTTATACTAATCATGAAAATATGCATACAGGAGTGAAATTTTGTGAAAGTAATCAGTGTGGAAAAGTACTCAATCTCAAACAAGCACTCAGTCACAATCTGAAATTTCCTGTTGGGGAAAAAGCAAATATGTGTACTGAATTTGGGAAGATATTCACCCAGAAGTCACACTTCTTTGCATCTCAGAGAATTCATACTATGGAAAAACCTCATGAACTTAGTAAATGTGTAAATGTTTTTACAGAGAAGCCACTACTCAGTATATATCTCAGAGTTCATAGAGATGAAAAACTATATATATGTACTGAATGTGGGAAGGCATTCATCCAGAATTCAGAATTAATTATGCATGAGAAAACTCATACTAGAGAAAAACCCTATAAATGCAGTGAATGTGGAAAATCATTTTTCCAGGTATCATCTCTACTTAGGCACCAGACAACTCATACAGGGGAAAAACTCTATGAATGCAGTGAATGTGGGAAAGGCTTCTCTCTGAACTCAGCCCTCAGTGTACATCAGAAAATTCATACTGGAGAGAGACACCACAAATGCAGTGAATGTGGGAAAGCCTTTACCCAAAAATCAACACTCAGGATGCATCAGAGAATTCATACAGGAGAGAGATCCTATATATGTACTGAATGTGGGCAGGCCTTCATCCAGAAGGCACACTTGATCGCACATCAAAGAATTCATACTGGAGAGAAGCCTTATGAATGTAGTGACTGTGAGAAATCTTTCCCTTCTAAGTCACAACTCCAGATGCATACGCGAATTCACACAGGAGAGAAACCCTATATATGCACCGAATGTGGAAAGGCCTTTACCAACAGGTCAAATCTCAATACTCACCAGAAATCTCATACTGGAGAGAAGTCTTATATATGTGCTGAATGTGGGAAAGCCTTCACCGACAGGTCAAATTTTAATAAGCACCAGACAATTCATACTGGAGAGAAACCCTACGTTTGTGCTGATTGTGGAAGGGCTTTTTTCCAGAAGTCAGAGTTAATTACACATCAGAGAATTCATACTACAGAGAAGCCTTATAAATGTCCTGACTGTGAGAAATCCTTCTCCAAGAAACCACATCTCAAAGTACATCAACGAATTCACACAGGAGAGAAACCATATATATGTGCAGAATGTGGGAAAGCCTTCACTGACAGGTCAAATTTCAATAAACACCAGACAATTCATACTGGAGATAAACCCTATAAATGCAGTGACTGTGGAAAGGGCTTTACTCAGAAATCAGTTCTGAGTATGCATCGCAATATTCATACATGAATGTAACCTTGTTTCTTGCAAATGAGAAAGCCTTATCACAGAAGTCAGGTCTAAGTGTATATCAAAATCCATCCAAGACAGATCCTATATGAATATATTACATAATAAAAATTTGTCAAGCTCTCTCACCTGAGATGAAAAAATTATTTAGAAGCGATCCTCTAAGAATGCACTGAATGAATGAAGGGGAATTTTCATATTTGCATAGCCTCACAAAATATAGATTTAATACTAGGAAAAATGCTGTCAGTTTAATGCATTATGAAAAAAGCCTTCCTACTGTAAAGAAAGTATTATAAGGCAAATTGTTACCAAATTCTTTATAGATGGAGTGTGAAAAATATGTAAATGTCAGTCATATTAAGCAATTTAAAGTGACAACAAAATGAAAAGTAGGACAACAAAATAGTATATTTGATGTGTAGACCTACTCAGTTCTGTAGGTTTTGGCAGAACACATTGTACAACAGGAGGAATAATTGAAATTCCTTTTTTTAATTTAATATAGTTGTCTACCAAATATGTTTACTATTGAATTTTTCTCTCATATGAATTCCCAGTTTTAAAGCCATTATGGTTTTATATATACACATATCTGCAGATATAATTTTATATGAACATATTATATAATCCTATCACCCATACTGCTTTCCATGACATATTTTTATCCTCTTTCATTGTGTGGTACAATGCAAAAAAGCCACAGATCTCTCTTGTCCTTTTATGCATGCTCCTTTGCGATGTTACTCTGTTGTTTTTCTTATTAAGAGGTAGAGCTTTCTCACTACTCCTTGACTTTGAGCTTGCCCATGTGACTTGCTTTTGCCACTGTACATTAGCAAAGAGATTCAAGAAGCAGCTAGAAAACTGAAAAAGCCTGCCTTGGGGCTTACTCTCTTGCTACTCTTTGGAATTGCAAGACCTTCATGTGAAGAAGCTCAGATTACTCAACTGGGAGATGAGAAACCAGATGGAGCAGAGATAAGCCAGCCTAACTGAGGCCTTTTAGGCCAACGGCCGGATGAGGGAGTGTGGCCTTTCTGGATCTCTAGCCCCAGCCAAGCCAGCCCATATCAGAAGAGCCTTACCAGTTATCCCAGCCAACCTGGAGAATTGTGAGATAAATAAAATAATTATTGTTTTAAACTGCTAAGTTTTGGGGTACTTTGTTGCATAGCAAATGCTAATAATACTTTAAAGTGTGTGCATGGGGTGAGGTATTGTACCAAAACATAAGGCATGTGGCACTGGCTTTGGGCCTGGGCAGCAGGTGGAAGCTGGAAAAACAATGAGCAAACCTATTAAGAAAGTCTAGAAAAGATGGCATCTCATGTTATTTAGTAAGGAATAAAAGAACGAAATAGTTACCATGCTCTGTGGGAAGATAGAGAATATACCAAAATGAACTTGTGGATCTGGCTAAGGAGATTTCCATCAAAATGTTAGAAGTATTAGTTTGCTTCTATTAGGTGCATATGATAAGGTACAAAAAGAGATATGAACCAAGAGAATGACTTCCATTTACAAACGGAATTCAGAAGAAATACAAAAAAATCCAGGACTTGTTGGGTTAGAAAAAACTGTTTCACATCTCCAGTCTCTCTCCATCCACAAGATATTTTCAAGGTGAAAAATGGCCTCAGGGTAGAGATCATATTATGTGTGTGGCTGTAAGACCCTTTGTTAAAATGCAGGAAATATTTAAGTTGGTGTTTGGGAGACCCTCTCAGCTCAGCTAAGTGGCTTCTGTAAACTTCATGACATTGTCCCAAGTACCCTGATGTACTGCTTAGAGAGGAGCCCATCTTAAAAAGAATTGTCAGTGTGGCATTTGAGGCATAGAGTAAATACAAACCAGGTTCATAGAAAACCTTTAAAATTTTTAATAGAGTTTTACGAATAAAACTACATCCAGGCTGGACTTAAAGGGACCGAAACAGTCCAGAATGAAAAGTGGCATCTGGATTCCCCTCTCTAACTTCTGTGAATAGGAATGAAGCTGAGAAAGTTACTCAGCTGCAAACATGGGCATTTCTTATGGGAAAAGAAGGATGTCTCAGAGAGAAAACCCAAGAAAAATATATTAAAATGGACTAGGGAGCCATTCCCAGGTAGAACTGTGACCTAATCAAGAAATACTTGCCTCTGGAGCAGGGCGACTTGACAACATTTGTTCTGTGGGATTTCAGAATTGTGAGGGAACAGTGACAGATATGTGCCTCTTCTTTCTCTCTCTTTTGAATTGGAGTATTGTAGTTAATTGTGGTCCTGTGTCACCATTGTGTGTGTGTGTGTGTGTGTGTGTTGGGGGGTGTTCTTATAACTTGTCATTTAGCTCACTGGTCTCTGGATCAAGAAACTGAGAAACTGTACTCAAAAGAGTCTAAGCCACATCTGAATCTGATACAGAAGATTGAGATCCTGGATTTGAACACATACCACAATTTGGGATGGGGTGAACATATTGTTGCATGGTATGGTAATGTAAATAAAATAATTTATGACCGGAAAACAGACTGTGTTGGCTAGAAAAATGCTACAAATTTCTCCCATCCCTACATGTTTGCCTCTTTTTTTGCAATTTTTATTAATTTATTTTTGTTACAGATGTTTCTCCTTCCCCCCAGACACCTCCTCCCTATCCCCGCCCCAGCATTGTTGTCTATATCCATTACATGTATGCCTTTTTAAAATGTTTTTTTTCTTTTCTTTTTGTGTTTTAGTTGGGATCAGTTCTATTAACCTATCTTCAAGTTCACTGATTTTAACCCCTACCCTGGCTCTGTCAGGTCTACTGGATAAGCCTATTGAAGGCATCCTTCAGCTCAGTTATGTTTTCTTTTCTATTTCTGATATTGCCATTTGACTCTTACAGTTTTCATCTTTCTGCTAAAATTCCCCATCTGTTCATGTCTGTGGTTCACATTTTTCACTATTCTCTTTAACATATTAAATCATTGTTATTTTAAATTTCCTGTTTGATAGTTCCAACAGCTGAATCACCTGAGTCTAAATCTGTTGATTGCTTGGTCTCTTGACAGTGGATTGTTTTCTCTTGCTGTTTTTATCTAATAATTTTTTGCTCAATGTCAGATGTTGTATGTAGAAGAGTAGAAACTGATGTAAATAATACTTTTTCCTGGAAATAGACATGGCTGCCTTTCTGATGGGACATTGGTATGGGGGGGGGGGGTTGAGTCTATCTAGTCAGGATTTGGGCTGGGTTTGGGTTTTGTTGTTGCTCTGGTTACCTTCAGTGTACCATAGACTTCAGATTTCTCTAGTGTTACGTTATGCTTAGGGTAGGCACTGATTTTCCAGATAATTGTTTTCAGTGTTCCTGTACCACTCTGGTCTTTAGGCTTTTCTGTGTGCCTGCATCTCAGGGAGGATCTCTTTGTGCTCCTGCCTCTCCCTTAGTAGTAGGTTGCTATTATTACTTAGGTCTTGGCTACCTATTGCAGGGGCAGGAGTTGTCCTGGGCCAGTCTCAGTTTTAGGCAAGTCCTATATCCCTAGGTTTTGAGGATGGGGCTTTTTCAGTGATTCCATCCCTTCCTATTGGTAGAAGGCCTTTAATGGTCTGGGCCCAGGATGGTTGCTTGCCCTTCCTCCATGGATGGATTTTTTTCCCTTTTCCCTTCAGTGGACCTTACCTTTGTCTTGGAGGCAACAGAATCTGCTACACTTTCCCCAGTGGTTTAACACTTTTGCTCTATAAGGGAGTAGGGTCTGATTGGGGCTTTGTGCCATTTCTGTATCAGCAGCTGTCTCACTGCAGGCCTATACCACTGAGAGAGACTTTATTCAGTCTCCTGCCCTACTCCCAATATTTTATTGTGAGTACTTAGTTGAGGAAGAGCCGCAAGTGGGGGCCAATTGTCCTTAGGTCTCTAGCTCTCAGAGGTTCTATAGTCCTACACTATACCATACTCAACCTTTAGAAATTCATTAAAAATTCTTCCTGAATTCTTAGTGCTGGTATGGTGAACTCATCTTCCTTGTTGCTGTGCCACAGTTGACCCAGTAAGTCACCTAACAAGCTAGTTGGTTGTTCTATGATCCTAGCTCTCTGATGAGTTCAATAAAAGTTATGATTCTGTAGATTTTCCAGATTTGATCTTGTTATACAAATGGTAACTGTGTTTTTTCAAGATGTCTGCACCACAGGCAGAAGCCAGAAATCTGAATGGTTTCCTTCTGGACACCATGTCTTTGCTCAGTGGGTCATTAGCAAATATGACACAAGCAGAGGCTTGAGAAATGCTGCATTCTTACTGCTCTTTAGAACACTGAGCCCACATGTTAAAAAGCATGGATTGTGCTGTTGGACAATGAGAGACCATATAGAGCAGTGATAGAGCAGCGATGAGCCATCCTAGTTGAGGGGCCCTAGGTCAACCAGATTTATAACTGCCAGACATGTGAATGAAGCTCTATCCTAGCCATCCAACCCCAGCCAAACCTACTGTGACTGGCAGCCTCTGAGATGACCCTGAATGAGCCCCACCTTTCTTTTTATCTATACATATAATCTCCTCCCCTTGAGTTTGGGCTGGGTTTAGTGACTTGGATCTGGTAAATTGAGTGAGGCAGAGGTTGTGATATGTCACTTCGAAGATTAGGTTATAGGAAAACTATGGTTTCCATTTTGGGTGCTCTTGGATGGCTCACCCTAGGGAAGAACAGCTACCATCACATGAGGAAGTCATTCTGTGGAGAGACTCATGTTTGCAAGCTTGGAAGCATATCCTCCTCTAGCCTTCAAATGAGACCACAGCCCCGCCTGATAGCTTGCCTGCAACTTCATGAGAGACCTTCAGCCAAAGGTACCCTTCTGAGCCACATTTGAATTCCTGAATTCCAAAGAAACTGAGATAATAAATGTTTGTTGTTTTAAGATGCTAAATTATAGGGTAATTTGTTACAGAGGAATGGGTTAATAATACATCATCCCAGACTAGAAAAGCTCTGCCATCTATGTATCCCACCCATCACAGACAACCCACAGAATCATGGATTAAAATGTTTTAAGCCACTAAGTTTTAGGTGGCTTGTTACCCAGGGTGGAAAAAAAAAATAACTAATACATTTATTATTTACTATATTTCCTCCTCCACTATTCATTTCCAACAGATAACCAATATTAAT